ATCTGAATCAGGATGAGAATTGACGTAGGGAAGGGAGGAGAAGTGGAACATGGGGTGGTAGTCTCGGTGCAAGTCTATCTATTTGGGAAAGTTTTCAAATAGAAACTCATTCCTCCACTTACACAGTTACCCTTTCCACTACTCCCTCCCCAGCCCTCATCTCTACTGAGCCTCTGCCAAAGCTGGCTCCACCATTGGGTTCTATCATCACGGTTAAAAGCTGAAATAATCTTGGATTCAAGATCCAGCTCCTCTCCTTACGAGCTGTGTGGCCTTGCATTGTCAGTTAACTCATCAGACTCAGCTTCGATTGAAGAGAATCATGTTGATTAGGTGTTGAGTAAAATTGTGATGTGTTTGTAAAATACTGAGCTCAATGCTTATGTCAATAATTATTAATCATGCTGCTGGCACACTCTAGCTCTCAATACTTTCTCCAGGGCAAGTTTTATTAAACTTTGACTACTTACTGTTGTGTTAGTCACATGGAGGCAAAACAGTCACAGTCGCCGAGCTCAAAGAACACGCAGTCAGATGCAAATCAGTGGGGAGGTGTCCAGGCTGCGAGGAAGTGCATCTGTGGCTTGTGTGAGGGGTCACAGAAAACTGTGGGGTGTACCTAGGGAAAGCTCTAGTCTGAATCCTAGTGAGTGGCGGTGCATTGGGGATGATGCAGTAGTGACTCCTGACCTGAGACCGCTGAGCTCTTCAGGGTTTTCAAGTTTTGTTTCGTGCTATTGAGACTAGAGCATGAAGAGATGCCTTGGAACCCTTGTGCTGGAGGAAAGCAGGCAGGGACAGAGGGCTCTCACCACCCTTCTCGGGCCTCAGCCAGAGAAGCCTTGAGTATATCTGTTTAATATATTTGAAATCTAAGTTGGATTCAAAGAAAATATCAAGCTGCTCAAGATATTTGGAAACCACCAGGCAAAATGATTTCTAAAATCCTTTCCCAAGATGAAATGTCGGCTTGCTCTCCAGCCTGTTTCGGCAGGGAGCTGTGCTGATCCGACACATCTCAGCTTCGTGGCTGTGCACATTCAGGGCCCGCGGGCTCCACGGACCTCTAGGCCTCTCTATCCAGAGTTCACATGGTTCATTCCCACCCACTCAGAGAAAAGGCCAAATGGTCCAAAGAGAGGCTTAACCTGTTAAGAATTACTAGAGAAGCAAGTTCTCTGTTTGCAGAGGGACTAAGTACAAACATAACAGGTCAAACAACTATTGACTTTATTTGACTAGAGCCCTATTTCATTAGCCAAAGTCTTGACCTATAGGTCAGAGGTCAGGCTGTGAGAGACATGCCAAAGGAAAAAACCAAACCTTCAGGGTAATGGGAGTGTAAGTATCCTTCTAAAGAGGCCTCTCCCAACTGCCAAGTTCCCAGGACTGGAAGGGGATTCTCTGGCTAAAGATGAGGCCTGCTGTGAATATCCCCATTATTGAAACTACTTCTACATTGGATTGGGTTGAGTTTTATACTCAGGCATTGTTTGAATATAAATGGTAATACAAGATCATTTTTGCCTTTTTTATTCCTTTATGGAAAAGGGCAAAGCTTTTTATTTTAAAAGGGAAGAGAACAAAAAAAGAGAAAAGAAGGGAAGAGAAATTTTTACAAAACAAAAATCACATACAGTAAGTTAATTCTAATGTGCTCCTTCAAAATAGCAATCTTTGTGACACTGTTGTGGCTATAATGTTTAAATTTCTAAACATTCTTAGTGGTTCATAAACCGGAAATAGAATATAAAGATGTGATGGCTTATTCACAATGCTGGTGTTAGAAGCAATTGAAAAAGCAATTTAACCTCCGCATCCAAAGCCTGAAGCTCTTCATGTTTCTTGTGTTTCCATCCAAAATAGAACTATTGTGTCATATGTCATGGTCCATGTAAAGGGAAACACCCATCTCTCTGTGAAAAGAACCAGAATAAGCAATGTGAACTAATTATACTGCAGAATTTCTAATTTGGGTGATTTCTTATTACGCAAATGTCAAAACAATTTATACATTGATTCATCTGCCTCCTGGAACAAAACAGGCTGAAATTAGGACTTCCATGATGTGCCGTGCATCTATAAGCAAGGATCCTAATTCAGAGTTTAAAGTCCTGTGTAAGGGAATGTCTCATTCTTAACCTATATATTTTGGCCTTCTTCTGGCTGGAAAGATGTTTTGAGTTCATCTGGTCCCAAAAGGTGGGGACAGTTATGTGTACAATGCCAAAGGGCCGGTGTCTTGTTACTTTATGCTCATTGCTGAGACAAAATACCTGAAGCCCAAAGTTGGGAAAGGAAAGGCTTATTTCCTACAGTTTTTGGAGGTTTCAGTCCACACTCAGTTGGCTCCAGCCAGGCAGGCAGGCATGGCTGGACTGCCTTTCATGGAGGCTGCAAACAGCAAACTCGAACCAGCAAAGAGCAAAACACACCTTCTTCCTGCCATTACATCACATCCTGGCTCCACCCCTACGTGGGTGGAGCACTGACACCATCAATCCAAGCACTAGACAATGAACCAATCACAAATACACAATGCAAACCCATGAGGCCTGGGGGACACAGACATAAACCATGACAGCCGGCCTGGAGCTTCACATACAAGTGAGTAGAGGACATCTGGGGAGCATTTCCCTGTACCCTAAGGCTGTCTTCTGTTTGGTCCACCTGACACCTTTAGAAAGAAGCTCTCTAGGGCGTGGCTCTGCATTCACTGATAAAATAGCATTTATTTAGTCACTTCCCCACTGTTGTTGAGAATGTTCTCCTAGCATTGTAAAACATCATGGAAGTAACTCAAGTTTTAATTTTTTAACACCAAAAGCATGGGCCAAATGTTATTGTAGTGTATGATGAGGACCACATTTTTGGCTGATCTTATATCCTCAAGATGTAGGGCTTGAAATGAGTTGAGATCTAGACCACAGAACTCACTAGAGACCATCGATGTAAGTACTACTTACTGGGTGGGAAGTCAAGCAGTCTGATCACCTGGTATTTCTTCTCAAGTTGAAATTCTGAGACCCGAGGCTGAGTCTGGTTTGCAGAGTTAAGGATCGTTCAGCCAGGTGCAGAGAAATGTGTGCCTTCCCTATGTCAGGTGGGACAGAGAGAATTCCAGAGCTGCTGTCAGGGGTGGAGCAAGGGCCTGTGTGTTCTGACCTTCAACTTTACTGTCCGTAATCAAACAAGATCATGGATCAATAACTGATATTCTTCCTCTGTCTTTGTCCTTCATTAGTCAAAAAATCCTTCTTCCACAAGAACCAACAGGAGGAAAGGGAAGGTCAGATGAGTTCTCAGGAGCAATTACTAGTAGTTATATGCTTTACAAATGTTTTATTTTAATAGAATTATTAACTGGTGCATCAACTAGATGCTAGTTGGAAGATGTCTGGATAAAATATTAAGCTTTTATAATCTTATTATGATTTTTCCCTTGAGGAGTGGGAATGTGGTTGAATGATAATGCCCTGGGTTTAAACCCTAGAACCATAAAGACAAAGGAGCAAGAGGAGGATAGAAGAGAGGAGGGAGAGGAAGGTGAGATGAAGGGAAGAGAGGAGGGGAAAGAAGAAAGGAGGGGACAAGAGGAAGAAAAAGGGGAAAGGGAAAAGAAAGAGTAAAGGATTCTAGTTTTGGTTCTGTGTGTGTGTGTGTGTGTGTGTGTGTGTGTGTGTATTATCAGCTTTTGAGAGCATACTGTGGACAAATAAAAAGCAAGTGTAGGAGCTGTTTTTCAGATGCTCATCTTAGTTATTTCATCTGTAGAAATCTGACATATGCATTAGAGTCATGGTTGTATGTTCATTTCTCCTCACATCTTTTTGTTCATATTGTGGTTCTCATTTCGGTTATTTGGCGGTTTTATATTCTGCTACGAAGTTCTCAGTGTGTAAAGATAACTGCATTGACAATTCTAGCACTGGTCAGTATAAGTTTCCCACACAATGTTAAAACATTTTACGTTTGTTTTTAATAGTCCATTTTGTTTGAATGTATGTTGCCACGGCTGCTTTTGGTTCTGTTCTGTTTGCATAGGCAGGTAGGTGGATGTAGTTAAATATATACATAGTATGTTTATGTAACATTCACATCATTACATTTGAAAACAACATGTAATATTTTACACTATGGTCCACTGAAGTCTGTGGATTTAAATTGGAAAAGTTACAACTGGGACACATTTGGTCTTTCTCCTTTCACGTGTGTGTGTGTGTGTGTGTGTATGTGTGTGTGTGTGTGTCTGTGTGTGTCTGTGTTTAGCCGGGACAGTCAGTAACCAGCAGAACTTCTCTGAATCAAAATGGCCACAACTTAGATCTTGAATCTTCTCCTTAAGCCTGTTTGATCACAGAACAATTTGTTTTCTTTGTGTTCCTGTTGATTCTTTTGTAATCTTATAATACTGTTACTGTCTTAGTCACTTTCTTATCACTATTTAAAAAGAAATTTATCTTGATTCATGGCTAGAGTCAGTGATCAGCTGTTTCCAAGCCAGCAAAGGCAGGGAGGAGGGGCATGGTGGCATTGGTGGCCTAAAAGCTTCTGGAGTCACAGTGGGAAGCCTGTACCCCTCCAGATCACGCCCGGCTCATGCCTCTCAGGAGCAAGTCAGCCATAAACCCTCCTCATCCTGCCACTTCCAAGGGCCTCACTGTGAGCACACGAGGCCTTTGGGGGACATTCCTGCTCCTGCTCCGAACTCTTCCAAGGTTGCTATAAAGAATCATTAACAAAGGAACAGACGCAAGGCACCAGGCAAAGCCTGACGCGTTGTAGACAGTAGTGTACGCTGCAAGTGTCAGCCCGAATTCATCCATAATGATAAATTCAAATACACTGCAACTTTTCTGTAGCTCTCATTATTCTTGATTCTGTGTTTGCCATCCTTACATTACTTTCTCATTTTTCACCTGTTGCTATATGACTTTGCTTTCTCGGTACTAAGGTTAATGATTTGTGTTTATTTTATTAGTAGTTAGGTTTATGTCTTCCAAAGATAGCCTTTGAATAATTTCTCTATGATTAGCTTTATGTAAAACTTATATAATACTTTTCATTTAGGATGTTTTTATTTGCCTGCCCAATCTTTATTAAAATGTCTGTAATTTCCACTGATAATTCCTTTTATAAAAATTTGCATCTGTATAAAATATAGTTTCTGTTTTTTTGTTGTTTTTTGGATACAGGGCCTCCTTTGTGTTTTGGGCTGGCTTTGCACTCACTCTGTAGCGCAGACGGCCTCGAACTTGCAACAGTCCTCTGCCTCACACTCCCCAGTGTGAGGACTCCAGGCGTGTGCTGCTACCTTTGGCTATAAAGTATATTTTCAACCCCCAAAATAACATTGGCTTGTTTTGTAACCATATTTATTAGAGATAAAACTATGATTAGCAGAATTAATGCTAAATCCAGTCAATATGTATTTTCTAATTTTTAAGTTTTTTTCTTCACTTTTCTCAGTTCTCTAAAGTGTATCAGTGAGAAAAATTTTCAAGCTGAAAATGTAATATTTATTTTTTAAGCCTCACTATTTTATTGAGAAATGCTTCTACATCAGAGAGGGTTTCCTGAGCATAACACTCTTGTTTCCTACAAAGGACATTCTTTTTCTGCAAAGCATTGTAGATTTTACCCTACCGTGATGTAGTTTTGTAGAATTAAAGATAATTCACAGAAGACATACATGCAGCCTGTCTTGTGTTTTGTATGTTAGTGTGGACCCGACACTTTCCTGAGTTTTCCATGGAGGTGAGGGACTACACTTGGGATGCTTTGTTTTTCTTTCAAATTATTTCAATAGAAGGTGACCTTAGCATAGAAATTCAGTTGGAAATGTACCCTTTACACTCACTGTATTTCATCATTATTACATGGGCCAAATAGATTCACATTGAGGGGAAAACAGGAATCTCTTCCCCACCTGGTAGAGGGGTCACAGGAAAAGCACCTGTAGGATTTAGTATATCCAGAGAAAAATGTGAAGCCCACGAAGAGGTTCCAGGTCCGACTTTCTGTCTTCAATAGAAAGGTCTGGTAGAAGTTTATTATTTTCTTGAATTAGTTAGTAACCCGTTCTATCGGCAAAAATAAATAAAACTCAGTCCTTGTCATTAGGTTGCTTCAGTTTGTGCAGACAGAAAAGAGAACCACTATGTAGAAATGTCATGATATAAAATATGAAAAGGATGTTAAAGAGAACCTGTTAGGAAGTACATTGTGAGACAGTAAAGTGGGGTTGTTGTGAGGCGGTGAGACAGGCTTTTCATGATCGAGTTCCAAACGTGGTTTCTGGACTCAGAAGCAGAAAGTAAGGCTGGATGACTATTGATGGGAATACGCAAGTAAACCTTGATCCCTGGTCTGTGAGGACCTGTTCATTTGCGCTTCTATGAGAAAGAAAATTCAAATACAAGCATCTTGGAACGCCATGAACCTCGTTCGCCCCTCTCTTCAGAATGTCTGGTCTCGTCAGTCTTTAAGGGTCTGCTACCTTGCCAGTATTTCCACAGTCACTGGCCCAGCCATCTCAGCTACGTGGAGAGCTTTTCTCCTATCCAAAGGCATTTCTCAGCACCTGTATTCTTGGCCCTCCTAAAACAGGGCCAAGTCCTAAAGTTTTAGGTAACAGGACGTGCTGAGGGCTGCACGTCATTATTCAACTTGGCTTCCTCCAAAGGTAGAATCGGGGAACTAATTTTTATTTCTTTATGTAAAGCATGAATGTAACATGAAATCTTGTGAATGTTTAAAATTTTAAAATTTATTAAAGACCTATCGCCATTAATCCCCCTCAAAATATTGCAGTCTTGATTCAGTTACACATAATCCCATTGCTCTTGCCACATTCTGAAGCACTTCTGGGAGTCCTCTTTCTTGAGTCTTTAATCCCATTGTAACCGGCATTTCAATGTCTGAAACTGATTCCACACATTTACTTTTCATGGTCACTTTTACTTTGAGGAAGAAGTTGCACACAACAAATCCAGTGAATAAGGGGGATGAGATTCACCACATTTTTTGCAGGCAGGGATTTCCATTGGGCAGAAGCATTCAAATTACTTTTGATCATATTCAGAAAGACACTTCCAAAGAAGGACTTCCAGGACTGCTTCAGAAAGCAAGAATAATGGGATGAATTTGTGCTTCGTGAAGGAAAGTATTTTGAGGGGGATTAACAGCAATGTGTCTTTTATAGTAGTGAGTTTTAAAAATTATTCACTCTGTTTGCAGTCTCACTATCTGATTGTACACTTTGTAAGATTTAATGTTCTAAGTTGAACAACTATTTCTAAGAGGATAATATGTAATTTACCAACTAGTGATTTCTTACTGTTTTTTTTTGAAATTATATATTATCTCTACTCTTTGTTTTGCTTTTTTCTTTTTCTCCTCTTTAAATAAAAAACTAAAAAATTATTCACTTTATACATCAATCATACCTTGTTAATTCAAGTACAGTATATAATTTTCTACTTTCATTATTAAGAAAATCAAAAAGGTTAAGAAAAGGCAACAAAATAATAATAAGAAGAAAGTTCTCTGTGCTTCGTTATGGTGCCTGCCCAGAAATGATCTATTGGACAAGTTTTCGGACTGCCGACTTAGCTTTCACCTTCAGGGTTCCTCTGTTCCCCTTTCTGAGTCTTTTGCTTAGCAAGGCAGAACCATTTGCTGCAACGTCCTTTCATTTTGCTTACTCTGGCCCCAACAGCCCACGGGCCCTCCCAATCCCACAAAAGATTATTATGATTTTTCCCTCCACTTCCAAACGGGAGAAAGAACTGAAAACCACAGATAACAGAGGAGTGTTTCCTTTCAGGCTGAGACTCCCGGAGCACGGGGCACAGTGGGGCCTCAGGTCCCTCACTCCAGCTCTTGGCCTGCAGCAGAAGGGATTCATGGCGGTTTGAGGCTGAGGGCCGAGTTCTCTTCCACTTGGGATCTTAAAGCACATTCTCCTGCCCAAAGCCCCAATTTCCTCCACCACACATGAATGCAGCTGAGTCAGGGTAATGAGCGAAGGGCTAATTTTGTTTTTGTTTCCAGTCCTGCCTTCTTCTCAAGCCCTCCGGCCCCCTCCTGGGCTCTCCTGGGCACTTCATTTGCCTGGGCCTGCTTCTCCCTCTGTGCCCAGGGATCTCTCCTCTTGCATTTCTGCTGAGACTTGCAGAGAGAGAGAATTGTAGACTGCAGGAAGTGGCAGGCAGGCCAGGAAGCTGTGCAAATTTGCACAAGTGTCTGGATCACTCCTGAAGACAGAGAGTGTGGAGGGATCAGCGACCAGGAGGTGAGTTGCCAGAGCATGCTGGACACACCATGGCTTCTTGCCCACTTGTAAAATGAGCACGAGAATTACCGCTCAGAGGAGAGTAGAGAGTTAATGAATCAGCCTATGGCAAGAGGCTGATGCCCCATATCACATCTTCTCAGTATTTCATTTCCACCAGGGCTTGCTCTCTGATAATTCCTTCATGTCCTTCTGCACGTGCCTCGGGCTAAACCCCAACGATGGCTTAATAGGAGTCAGGTAACAGCTGTGCTTTCTTGCCGTGATCACCTTCTGAGATGTGACTCTGGCCTTTGTTATCTAACCTATTAGAGGCAGTGATGGGGAGAGAGGCGCAAATACTCGTGGATTTGTGGAGACTGCCGGGCCCAAGATATCTGATACTTAAGAGTCTCCAATTCTGCTTATAGAGGACTCTCTCATCACCTCTCCACAATCTGATCTTTGTCTTGTCTACTAAAAATGAATATTATCTTGCCTAGTCTTTTCACCAAGTCCATTAACAAGCAGGTGGATGTTAAAATCTATCCCCCGTGCATGGCCAGTCTTCAGTCACACGTCACTTAAGCCCATGTCTGGCAGATTACATTCTTCTTGTAAGAAAAGAGCTAAGATGAGAGAAAGAAACGAAAAAAGCTCCTAGGGAAGCTCAAATCTAGCAAAATCCAAGATGGGGCACAAGACAGAGTGTTCCACAAACGCTTTGTAGGTAAACTGATGTGTTATTCCTTCCTTCAGAATTAAGATTCCCAGGTAGAAGGCTCTGGTCTATGCTTTCTGCGTGGATGAATCTCTAGTATTTTGTTAACATTAAGTGGGACACTTGGAAGGATGAGCATACAGGAAGGAAAGGAGAGCAAGGCTAGCCAGCACGCTGTGCATGATTTCCTCCTGAGCATCGCACAGTCTGAATTATTTGAGGATGTAGTATGCAGCTAGTTCCCAGCTCGTTTAGGTCTTGTTCATCTATTGTTCCCAGCCAGCTGAGGCAAAGCATGCTTTGCTGATGCCCACTGCAGACTAAGGGGATGCAGAGTCAGCAAGGTGGCAAAACTCCCCTGGATTCTGTTAAAAAGAAAACAAGCAAACAAATTAGCCAAAACAACTTCCCTGCAGTCACACAATGACAAGGCCGGCCCGGGATCCACACCAAGAGGCCGCTTCAGCTCTCAGCTGTGAGCTGACCTTGGATGATTCACTTCCCCTCTTCCTGACTCTGAATCTCACTGTCTCTCTGTCATGAAGAGAGTGAGCAAATCCTCCTCTCTGCTCCTTTCTGCTGTCTTCCCTTTATCCTCCCGGCTCTGTCTTCTCCTTTACAAAGGGAGAAAATTGAATAAAGCCCAATTTTCAATTCTCAGAAAAGTTAATGGGATTCCACACTCTGTCCCATATATAAAAATCTATTGTCGTCTAGGCACAAAAACAGATTTTCTGTAAGTTGCCACACCCACCCCACCCATCCGTCCACTGCTGCCTCCGCTCTTCGGTACAAACCAAAGCAGTCTAATGTAACCAAGAGACAAACCTTCTTCCTTTTTTCTTGTAGATCCCAGACGCTGCAGTTACATCCCTGAGCTCTGAGACACTTTCCCAGGACACTCCTTTGCCATATTTTTCACCTCTAGTATCCTGCTTCCCTGCTGTCTACAGACAACCTTGGGCAGGACACCACTGTGCCACAGTTATAAAACAATACTCACTTCCTGCCTTACATCCGAAGTGAAAGGGAAAGGAACCAACATCATTTAAGCATGGAAAATAAAATTGAACCAAACATGTGCCAGGGCTGCAGCCCCAAACCAACACTGCACATTCTGTTGCGGTTGCGTGGAGTTAAAGGGGAAGGGGGCGGGGAATGTTATTTTAAGTTTCTGTACGGCATTGAGGAAAAGTGCAGAAATACATCCAGACCCTTCAGTTTGTGCAGAGACAGCCAATGGCTTTATTCATTGAAATGGTAGGTTAATATTAGAACCTCTGCCTTAATAAGCAGCTATTTAAAAGAGGAAAAAAGCCACCTTATTATAGAGAGGCATTCTCATGTCATTGGTGGGCAACTCCCAGGAAGAATATGGGAAGGAATCTGCAGCCAATGTACACAGCCTTGGATGTTACTTTAAATTCAACTTTAAAAGCTGGGATTTAGCAGGCATGATTGAAGTCTGCACACACAGGACTGTGAGGTGAGGCATTCAGCCATGTATCACGGGCGTTAGATAGCTACCAACCTGTCAGCTGCTTTTGGATGTTTTAAAGATATACTTGCCTGATTTTTCCCTCCCCAAATATACAGTCGTGTATTAACAAGCAGAGAAAGAACATATTTGGATATATATTGGGAGAAAAGGCGTATAATAAGGTAAAATAAATTAAAATAAAATGCTTGAGTTTCTTGTTTTTTGCTCCAGTTAAATTACTATTTGACATAGTTGTAAGTAGTATAAATAATAAACACATTATACATCAAGTTTCCATTTCAAAGTTAGGGTGGCTTTAAAATGAATTCATTCAGTGACGCCAACATCTTGTCAGAGATCTGAGATCTGAGTTTTTCCCCCTCTTCTCCTTTTGCTCAGTCAATCAGCACTATCTCATGGTCACAGTTTGGCTGCTGAAGTTCCAGACATCACCAAAAGATGTCACAAATTCCAGCAGAAGCTCTCTCTCTCTCTCTCTTTTTTTTTTTTTTAATCTTCTTCCTTTTTATCGGTACCAGGGATCGAACTCATAACTGCCTGCTTGCAAGGTAGGCGCTTATGCCGCTGAGCTAAATCCCCAGTCCCTAGCAGCTTTCTTCTGCTGAAGATTTGTAAAAGACAGGAAATCTTTCTAACAGGCTTGGGCACAATACCCTTCTGACTGAAGGTCAGAGTTTTATCCAATTCTACTTCATCGTGAAAGTAATAAAGTCCACATTGCCACTTTTGACTGATCAGGACCCTCCTCCTAAAGTTTATAGCCTTGATGTGCGGGGTGGACATCAAAACCACCCACTGTCCAGGCAGAAAGGCCTAACAGGAAAATCGAAGGCCTTGAAGAGAGTGAAGAGACGGACTGCAAGGCAGAGAAAGGAAGGTAATGTGCACTTCGTCCGCAGCTCAGGAGAGGGAGATGAACTCTGCACAGACACGGAGAGCGTGGGACTCCAGAGGCCTGCGGGGAGAGACGTCCCAGTGGGACGGAGGAGGATGCCATGGATACTGTGCACTGGAGAGACTCCAGCTCCCCTGGAGGCGCCTGGTCAGATGACTTTGTAGAGAGGGCCAACTGACCTTGGGAGTGGGGTGACCTCATCCCAGGGCGCCCAGTGTTGAAACCGCACAGTGCCTGGGCGAGGGGCCACGGTGGCAGACGTCGAGGTCAGCGAGAGAAGGTTAGCCTGGCAAGGGACAGCCGGCGTGTCTGGAGGCTGACCAGCTCGGCCCCACCGGCCAGAGGCCGGGCTCAGTCTGAATTTCTGTGCCGCTGAGAACATCGGAACCGGCACCCCATGCTGACCCTGCTCCGCACTTGCTGGGAGCGTCCAGCGCCCGGCGGCCCTCAGTCCACTCCAGCTTTCCCAGATGACCCAGCCCTGGGCGAGGCGCTCCTGTGTCTCCCGGAGGACACGGAGACGGCTATTAAACTGTACACACCACACGGCAGCCACAGGCTCGAAGTCACATTTTACTGCTTTTGTGCTTTGTGGGTTTGTTGATCGTATTTGTTATGTCGTGAGTGTTTTTGTTTTCAGCTGATTTGTTTCGTCTTCTCCTGCTTTCTTTTCTTCTGTCTTCTCCACCGGGTTCCCGAGGCTCGGATGATCTTCCTCTGCTCTTCAGCTTTGCTTCTCATCTGTTTCTCTTTATTTCTCTTTTTTCGTCTCATCTCTTTTTAAATTTTGACCCCAGAGTATTTAATCCCAGGGATCTAAAAACGGGCATGTGAAATGAGTAGATAGTTTTCAGATTAAGAAGTAGAAACAACAAATCAATATATGAAAACATTTTCCACAGCAATAACCATTCCCAGAAATGCAAATTGAAGAAACACTGAGATTCCAGACGGAATGCCTATCATCAAGAAATAGACCAATAGCAAACGCTGACAAGGCTGTGAGGAAAAAACCCTTCTCCACTGTTGGCAGGAGTGTAAATTGGCATAACTAATACAGAGATCAGTGTGGAGATTCTTCAAAAAACCCACACTACAGGTTCCATTTGACCCAGGTATTCGTTTAGGTATCTTCCAAAGAGTTAAAAGCATCATCCATAGCAATATATGCACACAACATGTTTATAGCAGCACAGTTTGTAACAGCTAAATCTCGGAAATAGCCCAGATACCCATCAATGGATGAATGGATAAGGAAAATGTGATTTTTATTCACAGTGAAATACTATACTGCCATAAAGAAGGATAGTCTTCAGGCATTTTTAGGTAAATGGATGCACCCTAAGAACATAATTTTAAATGCAATAAATGTGTGTTTTAAAATCACACTGTTTCTCTTGTGTGAGAAACTGAAAGTGTAAATAAAGGCAAAATGGATGAAAATATTTATATGGAAAGGGGAGTAGAGGATGGGAATGAGAAAGGGAGGGAGAGGGAATAGGGATGAAAAATTTAAAAAAATAAATAATAGAAACAAAGTTAAAAAGGGAGAGGAGAAGGACTGAAAAACAGGGAGGGGGATGGGAAAACTTAAAATATATTATGTACAGGTACAAATTTCCCATGATGAATGTGATTATGCTGTATGGTAAAAACAAGACAAACCAGCTAAAGGCTAAAAAAAAACCAAAAGAAATCACATGATATGTAGAAATCCACAAAAATTACAAAATTAATCCCAATGATTCTAAATAATACACAAATAAAAGTCACTAAAATATTCTGAGCTGATATTAAAATTACAATTCACAAAAACTTTTGATACAGCTAAAGCATTATCAGTAGGAATTTCTTATCTTGAAACGCTCATACTAGAAAAGATTTTTTTGAGTCAGATCCTTACGATTAGTTCAGGTTGGACTTAGACTCATTTTATGAAGCCCACTTTGGCCTCAAACTCATGGTGATCCTCCTGTCTCAGCCTCTTAAGTGTTGGGATTAGAGGCATCCACACCTGGCCTGGCTTAAAAAGAAAATTTTTATAATCATTGATTTAACCTTCTACCTCAGGAAGTTGAAATGAGCAACTTTGATTAAGTAGAATAAGTAAAAGTTCTCCAACAGGTCAAGTAAATTGATTAAACACTTGGAGGCAAAAAATGATCAAGAAGGTTAGAGCAAAGTATTAACATCGAGAACAAAATGGGAAATATCACTAAAAAATCCTACGTGTAAAGAATAATAAAGGAATATTAAACAAACCTAAAATTTTTGCACATCACTAAGTACTATTCTGTTTTAAATGCTGGTATATATTTCAAACACACATTCATCATGGGGAATTGGTTCCTGTATGCATTGTGTCTTCTGGCAGTTTCTTATAAAGTTAAACTATTACTCCATGACCCATTCCTAGATTTTCATCCAAAAGAAAAGAAAGGATATGATCATAAAATATTTGCACAAAAATGTGTATAGGATAGGTTAAAAATCAAGAACAAATCAAATATCTTTCAACAAAAAATGAGATAACATACAGCATATTCAGAAAATGAAATATTACTCAACAATAAAAAGGAACACACTACCGAAAAGCCAACTTTACAGACATTAAGTTAATGGAAAAAAAACAAGATAAAAAATAATTTCATCATCATGAATTTCAGGAGTGCAAAGCCATCCTAATTTGCCTCTGAGAGACTGGAGAATCAGTGGGAAGAGGCAGGAGCAGAGATGCACCATAAACTGGCTTGGGAAAGAATGGGGAGCTGGCCACAGCGCATGACTGGCCCAGGGGACTTTCCTGGGGTAACAGAAGTGTTCTGCGCGTGGCCGGCTGGGGTGCTGGCCTCACGGGTGTACACATTTGTCCAAACTTATCTCACTGCATAATTATAATTTGCATATTTCAGGGCATATAATTTTTATCTCTGTAAACAAACAAAGAAACAAGCAAAAGAGACCCAAGTCCCTATTCCCAGGATGTGAACATCTGAAATACTGAAATGCTCTCTCTCGTTGGTGGCTGAGGAGGGGGTCTTCCAGGACTGCTGGAGCTGGAATGGGGGGCTGTGTATGCGTCTCTCTGCAGAAGTGGTGCCCTCCCTCTGTTTGCTGTCTGTCCTGATACCATGTTCTGCTGCTATCCTTGAATAACTGGCTGATTATGTACCCAAATGATTCACCCTAAAAACGAAGTGCTTTTTGTATCATTCTTATTGCATGTTTCTCTGTTTTCTATGTCTGTATTCCCCAACCCATACATTTTATACACGTCTCTGATTTCCAGGAGTGATGTTTGGTATAGCTGAATTTCTTAGTTCTTGAAGCCCTTGCTAAGTGCTGACCCTGCTTTTGGACTGCTCGCTAAGGCCTTGCGTAGCTGGTTAATACAAACCCTTTGAAAATAGTGTTAATGACCAAGCAACTAAGAATACAGCAGTGAACAACGAAACACTCCTCCTTTACCAGAGGATTCTCAAACAGAGCCTAAATCCTCCCTCCATTCCATGAAGATCAGGCCCCTCCCAAACATATCTCCCCTTCAGACCTCACCAGCCTGGGGCTAGATAAAAGCCTGCCCTTATTAAGGGATTTGTTGCTGAGCATTATTGGTATTTTATTTTATTTTGGGTCAGAGACTTCAAAGCCTCCGCTTTTTTCCCCCCATCTGTAAAACCCCCATTATATCTCCATATAGATCTGTCATTGATACGGGTCTATAAATACACACGGCTTTGTTTATATAGACATACAATATGTGCGCCCGATTGCTATCTCTGTTGTGTGCACACCAGGCTTATATTTGGAGACAACTTTTGAAAGCCAAATTTGATACAGTGCAGAGGCAGCTGGCAGTGGGGAGAGCGAGTCCCTGGTTATCAATATAGAAAGGCGGGATGGGCCACAGATACGACACACGCTAAGTGTTCTTCAGGCGCAGGGAGGCTGAGATGCAGGGAAGAAAAGAAAGAGTCAGAAAGAGGCCTCTCCCTGTTTAGCCGCTCTTTGTTCAGCTTTTTCTACCAGTAGGAACATGTCCAAGGAAAAGTGTCTCTGCGGAGGGACCTCACAACCCGGCTCAGCCAGACAGTTGTCTGCAGGCTGCCTGAGAAAGCCACTTACTCCTAAGAAAAGCCGGAGGACGAAGAGAGGTGGTGGTGGGGAGAATAATTAAAGTAAATTAGTGGGTGAGAGGGGGATGGGAGAGCGTGCCTGGTCCCGTCCTGAAAGGACAGGGCTGGGCAGGACCCTTCCAAGGAGACCACCTTCTCCCACCTGTCCCATCAGCCGTGCCGCTCCAGTCCACCCAGGGCAGTGCCCGTGAGCCTTGCAGCTCAGCAGCAAACGGCCATGGTGCTTGTGTTTCTAAGTAGCTCCACACAATTCCTCTTGCTCTTTCCCATTTTGCAAGAGTTTTCACTTGTTTGTTTTGTTAAGTGGGTCAGCGGTTCCCAACAAGAAATGATTTTCACTTTCCCAGGGCATCTGGCAATGGGACAGGGATATCTTCTGCTGTCAAAATCAGGGACAAGTGTGAGCTACTAGTATCTAGATGGAGTTGGTGAGTGGATGACGGGAAAACTGTGGCATATAAATTTCAGGTAGACCAGGAATGATGTTTTTAATCATTAGGTTTCAAATGTTGTACAGACTGTTTTTATTCTTTAAAAAATCTATCATATGTCTGAAATTCAGTTCTAACTAGGTTTCTTATGTTTTTGTTTTTTATTTTTTGTAAACTGCTAAGCATTCCACTGTGCACAGAAGGGCCCATTACAGCCCCAAACAGCAAGAATTCTGAGGACGAAGAATACTGTGATAAATAGTGGTAATACAAGTACAGTTCAGATGCTAGACAATGTATGTCTTTAACTTCTGAGCATAAAAAATGAAACATACACCAGCTTACCAGTTAATCCTCAAAAGCTGATCTGACCTCTCATCTTTGTGGTGGGCAAGTCTGAATCCCTCCATCAGAGGGTGCCCCTCCCGGTGCTTAACCTGGTGTCTTTTTCTATCTTTCCTCTAACTTCCCATTTAAAACTTTTTTTACTTGGGAATTTGTGCTTTAGTTTTAATTTCCAGTGTTATTTAATGGGCTTCCAGCGACACCATCACAAGTGCCCTTATATAAAGAGGTGTAGACACACACTGACAATACAATGTGATAAAGCAGAGGGACATGTGGATATGATGTGGCCACAAGCCAAGGAATGCAGACAGACTCCAGAAGTTGAAAGAGTCAAGGAACAGATCCTCTCCTAGAGTCCCTAGAATGGGTATGCCTTGATTTCACTTCAGTGAAAATGATTTCAGGATTCTACTCTCCAGAATTATAACAGAACTCATTTCTGCTGCTGCTTAAACCACCAAGTATGTAGTCATTTGCTTTAGTGACCCCAGAAAATTAATACAATGTTTTCCTAAGGAGTGAAGTAAGAGACCACTCTTTCTAAGAGAGTACTGTATATACCATATATGGACCACACATGACCTCCTGGGTCCAAGAGAGGGAACCAGAGAAAGCACGGATTTGTTTCTTAATCTTCACCTTTGCATCCTACTATGGGATGTTTCTAGTGGTAGATTTTGAACATGAATTTGGTCATAGTTTTTACCTGAAAAAAAGGTGACCTCTTGGAAAGAAATGTGGGAGTCCAGGTCTTGCAAAACCTATATCTAGAACTTTGGAAGAAATATGGCAGCCTCAATGGTGGAGTAAGCATGCCTGGTTCCTAGCAACTGTGACTCAACTCAGCTATGTCTAGTGAGTTGGCTCTTGTGGACATAAGACTTTGTGCCATGTGGGTCCCCTGTCTAGGGCTTGACATGCTCTAGGGTGATGTGATTGGGGGAAATGAAGTTCGGGTTCAGAGGAGGAAAGGACTGTATTTTGTGGCCCGGGTGTGTTCATGGAGAGATGAGTCCCAGGGTACTACTGCACAGCTCCTTGAAAGCCTGGAGACACTTGGCTGGGCTCACAGGATGAGTGGCCAAGAGCAGGAAAAGCACACACTTGTAAATGAAAAATAGGAAAACATGTTAAAGGGCCAAGGGTGATAAGAAGTTCTTATCTGTGGAGGAGCTAGAAAACATCCTGAGCGTATCACCGGGGAACAAACAAACAGAACCACTGAGATCTGTTCCGGGTCTGCATGTCTGGAAAGAATCCTAACCCTCTTCTTTAGTTTAGCGTGAGACCTGAATATTTTTCAATGTGCTCTATGTTACAAGGTTGGTCTTGGAGGACCTATAATCGTCTCTCTGCTATGTAATTTCTGGAGCAAGACTTCAAGTTGTCCATGTTCCTAGAATGCCATGGGGATGGTGCTTGGGAGAAGCAGGATGTGTAGCTGTGAAGTGGCCAGGACTTAGACAGCTGGATCCTGCTGCGCCCAAATACTCCTTGAAGAACATGGAGAAGAGCCAGAGTTCAGTGAGTGGTCAGCCTTACCTCAGAGAGCCAGGACGCTCAGCAGGAAGGCCCGCTCCTGACGGCTTCTTGAAGTGCTCACTCTTGAGCAGAAAAACCGGGCTGTTGGGGTCAAGTTGAACACTTGAGAGGAGTTCTCATTTTCTGGTTGAGTCCTAGCTAGTTGACTAGTGTTGCAACGTTAGACAGATGACCATTCCACTCCAGGAGTTTTAGTTTCCTTAAATTTAACACTGCATGAAAAATAGCTGCTCTCAAGATTAGGAAGATTATGTGAGAAAACACTCAAAATGCTCAGCATGGAGCCTGGTGCATGGCTAAGTACTCAATAAATAATACAGTATTATTAGATGCTTTATTCAGGGACAGAGTGAGGGCGGAGAGGTGTAGCAATTACGGTCTTAGCGCACTGTGTGCTGAAGTCCAATATAAAGAGACTTTACTTATATATATTACTCTTCTTAATAATAGATACTATCAGTTTTCCAAGTTGATCTGATAATATGGAAAACATTATCTTGCTAAACAGCTGTCCATTTGTTTCAATTATAGGATCCCACCTGTCACAAGAAATGTAAAATATGCTCCACAAATATATGGGATCATGTCCTGTGTGTGTGTGTGTGTGTGTGTGTGTGTGTGTGTGTGTGTGTACCCTACCATTTTGTGCTGAAGCAAGCTAACACTTTGCTCCTAAGTCTCTTATGGAAATGCTTTCAGCTTGAGCACAACAGAATTATGAACGCGTAGCTGAAAACAGTTATTTTACTTCATTCTCTTGTCAGCTTCCCATCCCTCGCCAGTTAAGATACGGCAGCCCTGCAAGGCCTTTCGGGAGGCCCTTGCATTCCGACGTTCTAAGCGCAAGGAGAGGTATTTTTCTGGGAGGGCCTCTGGCTGCGGAGTTTGGGAGGGTTCCCGTCTCATCTCTTACCTGCATGACCACATTAAATCGTCTCTCCTAGCTCGTGCCCTTCAGCTGCTCTTTGCCCCACTGCCCTGCGTGTGGGGCGAAAGTTAGAAATAGATCCCTGCAGCTGCTCCTCTCCTTTCACGGTTCACACAGCGGTGCAGTGGGGTTTCTCAGCCTGAGCGCGGTGAACATTCTGGGCCAGACAACTCTTTGTCTAGGGGGCTGTCTTCTATTTTGTAGGCTGTGGAGCGGCACAGCTAGGCTCCACTTTTAGATTAGATGCCAGTAGCAACTCTGATTTATGGTACCTAAAAATATCTCCTGGCATTCCCAAATGTTCCATGGAGGGCAAATCACAGTCCAGTGAGAAGTTTCATAATTTCAACTGGTTTAGAGGGTTCCCCTCCTTCGGCTTCCACCTTTCTCTTTCTGTAACCAGTTCTGAGTTAGGGGCCTCCATATTTTTTCTGCCACATCTCTTATTCACTCTGTTACAACTGTGTGCATAGTTTCCGTGGCATGTTCTTGTCCTAATGCCCTCCAGCGAGCTGTAAGCACTGTGAGGACAAGAGAGCTTCACCCTTTTGATCACTTTTGCACCCAGGCACAATGCCTGGCATGCCGCAGATGCTCAGTAAATACTTAGCTAATGTGCTCCTTGGAAAATGATTCTCTGGAATCATTAGAGCCCTTTAATTTGTGGAGACCAGAAGTAAGCCTCCCTGACCTTCTTTGTCCATACATTAGTGGGCCTTAATTATAGGATGGAGTTCCTGGATTTTTAGGTTTATTTCATCAATTCCTTTGCTCAACTGCAAATTTATGCTTGAGCGTTCTGGGCTGACCATTGTCATTAACTCTCAACACATGGTCATCAACATATTTTTAAAGGGACAAAAAGGGAGCCTGGATCCAGCAAGTCCCAGATCCTATCTCGGGGCTCCTAGAAGGAGCCAGCCCAGTGAGTATAGCATGGAACCTCGAAGATGCAGCCCTGCGTAGAAGCAGTTAATACGAGTGCCTGCAGAGGGGGAAAATCGCTGACCAAGTCAGGACTATTTAGTCTACAGGGAACACTGAGAAGCAATCTGATAGCGATGCTTCAAACTACCTGCAGCCTGGGGCCATCGCAAACAGTGCAGCTGGACGGTCTGTTTGAGGTGAGTGGACAGGCCCAAACTTGTCTCGGTGGAGAGGGGGTTGCTTTTTAAAGGAATTTAAGTAGGCACTTTCTAGACTGTAATTTCAAGCAAGCTTTTGGAACAATTCTGCCAGTAAAAAGTAAAACAAACTCTGCTTAGGGACGGTCTCCAAGTTTCCCACTAATCAGCTATTTACCATGGGTTTCAGTTTGGGATGTAAATGAGACATTGTGGGCCATCTGGTTTCTTCTGGCTCTAAACACGACAGAATTCAAACTCATTCAGGTGTTTTTGCTTTTTCAAACATGCATGTGTACTCCTGCCTTTGCATAAAGCTTTACACACTATGTTAGCTCTTTCCTTTTAAGATCCACTTTACCTTTTGTTTTCAGTAGTATTTGCATGTCTGATTGATTTTTATCTTTGTTTAGATAACTTATCAAGTGTTGGAAGGTAATTTTGAAGTCCTAGTTCAATCTCTTTGTTGTTGTGTTGCAACGGCAAGCAGAAACACCTAAACAACACCCAGGATTTGGAGGCAGGTTTATTTCCATAGACTGGCACCAATGGAGATCATTCCCAAAATATCAGGCCCTGATCTCTGTGGTCTAGGGCTTGTATGGGATAAGTAAACAGGAAGTGCAGAGGCAGAGTGGCTTGTCAATCCGGGATTGGTTTATGCAATGCGACCAGCTGTGCATCACAGTGACCAACTGTTTCTAAGACACAGAACAGCTAGAACTGGGGCCGGAACTGTTACTTGGGCAACTAACAAACCGAAGTATGCTGACTGGTGGGAAGGGGGGCTACAAAGAAGAAGATGAAGCTAAACCATGGAGTGAGTAAGGAGATTTTTCAAAATTCAGAGATATTTAAAATACTCAAATTTATGTCTCAGTTCTTAAGTTAATTTCTAACAACCTGCCCTGCACAAACATAACAAAGAGCCAACACAGAGATTCAGAATCCTGGGAACTTAGATGAGAAAACATTGGAGTGGCTAGGATTTTTTGGTGCAAACAGCCTTTTTCAGTCAAACTTAAATGCAAAGCTTAAGACATATAGAAGCGATCTGAGATAACCTTGAATGCACAGAAGCTAATGAATTGTGTATAACGAATATCTAATGGCATTGGAAACTCATACTCCAGAAAAGAGGTTGTGAACTTTTTCCTGAAAATGTTTGCAACTTTGTGGACAATTACACCTAAATGTTCCCTTTGCCTTTGTGTGAGGAAAACAGCAAGACATTCATAAATAAGTGAACATGGTTTTTCTTGAATAAAACTTTACATACTAGAATAGATACCCACTGAATTCAGCCTTAGTCTGACCACTCTTGATCCAGTAGAAGCCTGATCGAAGAGGACTTAGAGCTCACAACAGATGGACTAAAGAAGCATTATTCAAGGGCTTATAGGAATCACTTAACACGAATGGGCCTTTGGAAGTTTCAGGGGTTCATTGAACTTTTCTCCAGGGTACCCAGCCAGGAAAGGTCCTTAAGTCCTAAAAAGCAGGCAGAGTGGCCAAACTGGGCCATGTACCCGCTTAATGGGCAGTGTCCCTGTGAGTACAGAACATAAAGGAGAGAAGACTTCACACATAAAAACTGAGAGGAAATGGTTTGGGGCCCATAAGAAAACAATAAATGTTCACTGCAGGATCTTTCTGAGTATAAAGGGACACATTCCTTTTGAATCCCGCCATCAGAGCACCGTATGAAACAAAGCAAAGCAATCCTAGCCTCAGTTATAATTTCAAATACTCCAGGTCCTGAAATCTTTAGCACTAAAATGTATGATGGGAAGACAGGAAAGACTCAGAGAACCTGCACATAATGCAAACTGCTATATTTTGACTTTTCGATCTTCGTGCTTATTCAGAAATGGGCTAAAAGCTCCACTAAGTAGAAACTAGGTTTGGTTTCCTGACTCTTGGCTCAGTCCCAGTACCATGGTCGATACACTCATGTTCTTCATGCAGTCCCAGTTCTCTCATTCACTCATATAACACGGTCATGTCTTCACAGGCTTTCTTCTGGGCACTGAGGATCCACTGTTTTGGGAAAACAGCCTCCCCTTGTATACCTTAATATAAGAGGGATAAGCAAAAAGGAAATGGACTTTCAAACCTTGAGGATATGTAAAAAATATAATATGATAAAACCTGCAAAATTTCAAGAGGGGGACCCATCCTATGTGAAGTTAAGGGTCAGGTAAGAGGAGCTCGGGAAAGGTTCCCTAAGGAAATGATTCTGAGCCCAGGAGGAAGAGCATGAGTCCAGCAGATGACTGGGGGTGATGGAAAAGCCACTTTTTGCCAGGAGGCCAGCGTGTGCAAAGGCCATTCAGCAGGAGGAAATATGAAATAGAGCTGATGTGGCCGGAACATAGAAAAGACATGAAATAATGAAGCAGGTGAAGGGAGAAATGAAAAAGGGACAGAATGTTTAAGACCTTACAGAGTAAGGTTAAAATGTTACCATTTATCCATAGGGCCTCGGGAATCAGAGCGGGGAGACAGAATTCACAATTACATGGAAATTAGGTACCATTAGTAGAGGACAACACAAACAGAAATTGGTTAGAGACCAGTTAGCAAGTTGGTGGCGAAGTCTTGGTGAGAGGTGGTGGTAATGGAGAGAGAGAGGAAAGGAAGTGGGTGTATTCGAAAGACATACAGAAGGAAAAGAAACTGGATTGACTGTAGATTGATAAATACTAACACAAAAGGTGCCCAGTGTATACCTTCTGAATCATTCAGTGAATATCTGCCCTTAAGTCTGGATACAAAAACATCCCTTAACATGTCTTCCTTTTGTAGATGCACGTTCAGTGCTCACTGGTCCCCTTAGTATTATTACCAAGCTTCTTCCAAATAACTGCTCTTTGGAGGAACCCTCATGACTTCACCCTTCTCCTTACTCTCCTTGTAACATTTTGTCAGCAAAACTAAGCTGCTATTTAAGAGATGGACAATGAGTTACAGAAAACTGAGGGTCTCAGATCATGGGCAGACATCCGTCTCATTCATCCACCTGCCAGGGGGTAATGCTTACTCCAGAAAGGGGCCAGAAAGTTTGTTAAACTTTCCAGGAGGCCCACACGTTTTCTGCAGAGATTCCAGTCTGGCTGGATAAATAGGACAATAAGGTGTTTAAAAAAATAAAATGAAACCAAAGCAAAGAACTGAGCAAGATGACCGGTGGAGGGAGCACAGGGGACCGGAGTGAATCCAAAATGCTCCCTTGGGTCCAAGGTTGGCTTCTGGGCACCATGTTGAGAGCACCACTTGGACAGCACCCCTGGAAAGTGCTGTGCCCCAAGCACTGTGAGTGGGTTTGTGCACACCTCCCACTGGTCCTGAAGATTTATCTGTGTTGTGGAGAAGAGTTGGGTGGCCCGGGGAACAGCTTCAACAATGGCAAAGAGAATGGAGAAATATATGCAAGCCCAGGCCTTCACAGCTGTGGCCCCAGCAGAGTTGAAAAGGCCCACATGGTGCAATGGAAACAACACCACGGGCCTTGAATGTCTTTAATCTTGACTTTGGCTCTTATTTAGCGGGTGCCCTAAGGCAAGGGGAAATTTCTCACTATTTAACACTTATTAATGGGAATTCTGGTTTGCAGTCTCCACCCCCTCGGTCCCTGCTCTTGCAGCCCTGAGTGTACAATGTGGGCTGCAGGGGTGAGGAGTGAGCTTATTGTAGGGCATGCACTGGAACAACATCTAGGAGGACTGCAAGATGCAGTGTGGCTCACGGAGAAAGTGGGCTGTGAGCCAATTGCAATAAGGTTGTAGCTGGCCCCGTATGCAGCTCTGGACCTGAGTGTAGGTGAGCCCCTGTGCCTTGATGAGAGCACTGGAAACTGGAAAGGATAAAAAATGTTTGGGTGCTCAGGATCAGCATTTCCTGCGGCCTAGGGAATCAGTGCTTCCATCTGAATGGAGCGCTGCTCTGAGCACCTCTGCTTTCTGCAGTTCCCTGCGGTGCACCAAAGAGGCTGGCATTCAAAGTTCAGCACAATCTCATCAGAACTACATTGACTACCTGTCTCATATCTTTTGCTTCAGCCAAATCAGCTACCGTTCTTTTCTTATGATTAACTTACTGCTGTGCCTCAGATCAATAAAGCCCTCATTCCCTCTCTCATTAATTTCTCACTTTCTTTCATGGTACGTGCCACGGACAGCTAAAAAAATTTTGATTGTCAGAATTTCCTCTTTTCTTATGATAATGGAGTCACACACACACACACACACACACACACACACATTTACTTTGCTGTTTTGTGCAAGGAATACTTTGGCCTGTGGTGCTA